ACGACTTTAAGGGTGATGGACTGATTACATCGTCTTCACATCTCTACTGTTCCTGCCTACTTTCTGTATTCGACTGAAGAAGCCTACTGTGTAGGCGAAACGTTTCGGAATAAAGTTGTCTAACTGTTGCATATGTGTCTTACCTAACATACCTAACTGTTGCATGTGTCTTACCTAACATACCCTGTGGAGGCTGTGACAAGATTTTCGTAGGTGAAACAGCAAGAAACCTCGACACCCGCCTCAATGAACACATTTACGCATGTAGGAACGACAACCTGAACAACGCTTGTGTACAACACCGAAATTCCACCAGTCATCTCATGAAATTCAGGGACGCCCAATTAGTGATCAAAGAAACTAATTTCCGCAGACGCAAGTGCCTAGAATCAGCACTGATCGCTGTTTCGAATACAATTAAACAAAACAACGGCAGCTTCACCATCTCTGAAGTCTTAGCAAGAATCCTCCTGAAAACAGTAAACCCTGCCATCACATAGTCTCTCCTGTTATACTACACAAAGCACATTACAGAGAGTGAACACTGCAACAACCTGCCTCTATCCAGTCTATATTTGTCCAACCTATTTTTATGTTACCCAAGTAATAGCTTTTATATCCTTTTACTCGTGTACGAATTAATTGCTCTACCATTTTGTATTACTACTACTACAACTTTTGTCACTACTACTACTACCACTAGTATCGCACCTCACTCTGAGCCTATATATACCCTGTGTGTCCATGTATTGTTTGTAATGGCTTGATAAAGCTCCTGGAGAGCGAAACGTTGCCACAATAAAATGTCACATTAGTTGAACCTGAGGACTCCTATTATTTATGAGACAGTGCTACCACTGGTGCCTGGAAGATGGGACAGGAAGTAAATGGGAGGGGGGGGGACAGGGCGTAGGAGTGGGGAGGGAAATGATGGGAACGGGGAAATAAAAGGGGGGAAGTAGCAGACGGGGAGAGGAGGAATAAAAGGAGAAAGATGGGAGGGGTAGGAGAAGGTCAAGGGAGATGTGGGGCAGGTAGGGGTTGGGAGAGGTTGAAGAAAATTGTGGGATGAACGAGGTGGGTGAGGGAGAGGTTGGGTAGTGAGGTGAGATTGCAGGAGAGAGGTGTGGGGCAGGAGATGGAGAAAAGTTTATAAATTAACCTTAAATGGAGTCTCTTCACAGAAGACTGGGGTGTTTTACCCAGGTACTGGAGTCTCTTACACACAGAAGTGGCGGTGTTTTAGTACACAACATGACATTCCAGCAGAACTGGAATTTTCTAAGACACTTCTCCCCGGATGCGACCCACAACAGTAGGCTAACACAAGCTCCTCTCTTCTATGTGCGGGTTATTTGTGTATTGTTCCAGTCACGGTATTGTGCCTTTTTTTTATTATTTAAGGGTTGGTTGGTTAGTGGGATTCAAAGCCTATCTACTAAACGAGGGAGTCATTAATGTTGCATGTCACCTGTTCACCACCACTCAAGAAAACTTGAATCGCTAAAATAATTAGTGTGTTCTTATATACCTGCTATAGCAGATGTAAGGAAACTAGCCCATAATGTGAAGGACCTGGGAGTGATAATGTCAGAGAATCTTACTTTCAAGGACCACAACAATGTTTCTATCACATCTGCTACGAATATGATAGGATGGATGATGGAAACCTTCAAAACTAGGGATGCCAAGGCAATGATGATTCTCTTTAAATCGCTTGTTCTCCCTATTCTGGAATACTGCTGTAAACTAACGGCCGCTTTCAAGGCAGGCGAAATGGCAGACCTGGAGAATATACAGACTTTCACTGCACGTATATGTACAATAAAGAACCTAAATTACTTGGAACGGTTTTAAGTCCCTTGACCTGTACTCCTTGAAACGCAGGCGAGAAAGATTCATAATATACACTTGGAAATTTTTTTTAGAGGGGTTAGTCCGAAATCTGCACAAGGAAATCACTCCGGCAGGCGATGCAGCATCCCCTCAATGAAAATCGGGGCGCCATGAATACGCTAAGAGACAACGCAGTAAGTGTCAGAGGTCCAAGACTGTTCTACTGCCTCCCATCATACATAAAGGGGATTACGAACAGACCCCTGGCTGTCTGCAAGAGGAAGCCGGACAGGCACTTAAAGTCAGTACCTAACTAGACGGGCTGTGGTTCGCACGTCGGTTTGCGTGTGGCCAGCAGTAACAGCCTGGTTGATCAAGCCCTGATCCACCGCGAGACCTGGCAACGAACCGGGCCGCGGGGGCGTTAACCCCAGAACACCCTTCGGGTATGAGTATACCCTCCGGGTATACTCCAGGTATGTTTCTCCCTACAAGGGTATCGAACCCAGGACTTTGCAATTGAATGGAATGCTCTCACCGGTGAGCATGGCAGCATCCCAGAGGCGCAAGATGAGTGGGGAGAGGAAAGTGAGGAGGGGGAAAGGGGTGGGGAGGGGGAAAGGGGTGGGGAGGGGAAAGGGGAGTAGGGAGGGAAAAAGGAATGGAAGAGGAACGAAATGGAGTAAGGTGTGTGTATTTGGTTTCAAGAAAGTAGATAAAGCAGTTGAGGAACGCCAACTAGTGGGTTAAAAGGATCTGCATATCATTACTGAAATGACTCCTGGGAGGAATATATTAATACTAAGGAGATCCACTGGTCAAGATAAAAAACTACTGCACATGTCGCCAGGCTAACTTATTGTATTAAACCAACTACGTTAAAAGTACGCACATTTCACTCTGTAAAGGAAAATAAACCAAAGGTCGTGTGGAAGGGAAAAAACGCAACAGTTTACGTAATGTAACTTAACCAATCCATAATGTTGTTTGCTTATCTGTTTTTTTACCAGGCTTACTTAGGATTATGTGAAGTATATCATAATAGTGGTTGGTACATCATAATAGTGGTTGGTACATCATAATAGTGGTTGGTACATCATAATAGTGGTTGGTACATCATAATAGTGGTTGGTACATCATAATAGTGGTTGGTACATCATAATAGTGGTTGGTACATTATAATAGTGGTTGTGAGAGTGCAGGTGGTCAACAACGGGTCATGTGGAGGGTGGCTACCAGGGATGACATAGCAACTTACCACTACCGGCATTTCAATTATTTTATACACCGTTGTATTTATGGGCGCCAAAGCTCTTTTGTTACGTGATATTACCAGCAAGCGAGCACGATTAACAGAGATTATCACTAACTATATGTGGAGCTAAGGCATATATCAGTACAATGAAATTATTACTAATTATAATGCTGGTCTTGGCATATATCATTACAATGACATTCCATCTGGGAAAAAAGACTCGCCTGTGGAAAATACACAGAAACCACCTACACAATGCAATACTTAAATAACAAGAATAATGAGGCTGATAACATAAGAAAATAGGAACAGGCTTGTTGGCCCATACAGAAACATTATTACATTTATGGTGGAGAACTAAACCTGCAAAGTTCATACGTCTGGTGGGATGGGGGAATGAGGCAAACATATTCGATGCATATAAGGGAAGGCAGGTCCAGTTCCTTGGATCAAGAGCCCTCCCGGCATCAGGGAAACCTCCCATCACGGGACAATGACTTAATGCTGCCTCACTGAAGGTTTTTAACGTTAATACACCTAATTCGGATCGAATTAATTAGTGCAAGATATATTAATATTTTTTTCCAAACCCATATTTTAAGTTTCTACAATATACAACATTATATACAATATACAATATACAATATTACTTTCATTATTACGGACATACAGTAGTAAGATTATGAGCGTAGTTTTAAAAACAGGATAGATAGGTACACGAGTGGGTGTGAGTTGAACCTGACTAGCTTGTGCTACTAGATCTGATGCCGTGTTCCTTCCTTGAGTGAATGTGACCTGACCTGACTAGGTTGGGTCATTGGTTTAAGCCGGTAGGAGACTTGGACCTGCCTCTCATGGGCCAGTAGGCTTGCTGCACTGTTCCTTTCTTACGTTCTTAAAAATTAACACAGAATGACGCAACAAGGTCAAATAGCACAACTGATTTCCACTTTAGTTCCCAAAATCGATACCTCCCCAGCCCAGCAACTTCAATAGCAGGGAAGGTGGGTTATAATTACCTAATACAATCTCTTCCCCCCAAAATAAGATAAACATAACACTCAAGAGATTGTTAAAAACAAAACAAAAAATCCAGAGGTGAGCCACGTAAACGTGAACTACCGGACGATCTTACAACATATGTTGCTCATTATTTATGCCAAGTTTAAGACCTATTGGCTGAACTTGGATTAATATAGAATTTTAATTCACATAAACACGAACATTAACCATGTTTCAGCTCCTAAAATACGTGGCTAATATAAACTGCATATGCAGTGTGTGTTTATAAGTGAATACATCAACAATTCATTCAACATTTAACAAAAATACGACACCAAGGCGCTATTCAAATATACTGTATCTATAAAGCTACACGTAAAAAAAAAAAAGGTTGATTTTATAGCGTAAGTCAGTTAGCAAAGCAACGTTGTGTCATAACGTTAGTTTGATTCACCGGAGAAATTCCATTGAAACAAGCCGTGAGACTAGTATTTTACCAGTCTTGGGTACCTGTCAGGGTGTCCATGCAAACAATGTGGAGACTGCAGACAAGAGTCAGCACTAAAAGTGTGTTTACAACCACAGTGGAAGAAGAAATCCAGACAAAGGTCAGACAAAAAACGTTGTATCGCGTTCGGGTTACAACCACACGCGCCTGGGTTTTCACCGCACTGGACATTCCGGGAAAAAAAACTCTTATTGTGGACTAGGAAGCGCAACTAAATATGCACAAGGGACCCACTATGGTGGATGATAAATGTGGAAGGAGGGAATGACTGGAGGAACACATGTAAGCAACTGGAGGGAGAGGGATCAATATGGTTCACTCTGGTGGCGAGGTAAAGCATAAGGGAAATATTTGAGTGGCGACAACAATGTGCCCTAGCAGGGCATACAGTAGGCCTACCTTGGTTGCCATTGGGCATGAAGGTATCCTCGTGAACATATCCATCCTTGTGCAAAATCACATGCTTTAGGCTGGTGGAAAGGGTCGCTTTGGACTTATCCTCGTCTCTAATGGCGAAAAAACACTGAATGGTCGTGTAGCACAAGGCCCAGGCCTGTTCCTCTGATATTGGTGCACTAAAAGCTAATAAGATGCATTCAAGACTTATGCATCCTCGAGGGTCGAGCGCACATCCAGTGGACGCGCGCTGCGACATCCTCCCCACACACGATCTTACACAGCACTGGCGGCCATAAGCACTCCCTTCCACCCCTGCAACTCCGTCATAGAAAACTTAATACTCACCTCACATGGTAACTACTCTAACTTTACCCTTGATGCCGGTAAACGGGTAAAGGAATCTTGATCAAGGGAAATAGATCTACCCTCCTTTTTTCTTGGATCGAACCTGCTTGCCTGCAAAGTGGAATAAACAAGTCACGGGGTCTAGTCACTAGTGGTGTCCCACAAGGATCAGTTATAGGTCCATTGTTGTTCACAATTTGCATTAACGAACTTGACGAAAGAATGAGAAGTGAAATGAGTAACTTCTCCGATTAAAAGATTCTGAGGAAGATACTACTGAACTTTAGGAAGATTTTGACAAATTATTGTCATGGTTTGAAAAGTGGCAGATAAGTAAATTTATTTAGGCACAGGTGCCCTTAAATACAAGTGCAACAATTGGGCAATGAATGGTTCAGAGAACCGACACGTTGATAAATTAGACACATGTGCAACTCTTGGGTATCTTTATTCATGAAACGTTTCGCCTACACAGTAGGCTTCTTCAGTCAAATGCAAAGGGAGCAGTAGTAATGAAATAAAGATGATGCAATCAGTCCATCAACCTTGGAGAAGTATTTGAGGTGGTCAGTCCCTCAGCCTGGAGAAGATTTCAGCTCCATGGTCTGGAACGATATGAAACTGTACCATGAGAACGAAGGTGAGGTGGAAGATACCGAAGTCGCTAACAAACCATACCACGGGTGGGGCTAGAACTCGCGATCAGAGAGTCACGAAACTCTAGACCGACGCGCTAGCCACTGGGCCAGCTGGCTATAAGATTCGTCCTACTAGGTATATTTATACACCATAGGAGGTTGGCATAGGCACCACTGTGATCACAAATGCAAGTTTTTACAGACGAATCTCCCGCCAGCGTGGCCGTGACTAGCTCTAGCTCAGGTCCCCTCCTATGGTATATAAATATACCTAGTTGGACGACTCTTGTTGTAGCCAGTGGCTAGCGCGTCGGTCTGGTGGTTTATGACTCTGATCGCGAGTTCTTTCCCCACCTGTGATATGGTTTGTTTGCAATCGCGTCATTACGATTTCGTGAGTCATCGAAGACGCTGTTGGGGACGAGATCCACTAGTCAGAAGCCAGGTTCATCTGGAATCCAACCCTTTTCACTCGTAACTAGTAGATACGCGATGAAGATAAGATAAGATAAGAGATAAGATTTCGTTCGGATTTTTAACCCCGGAGGGTTAGCCACCCAGGATAACCCAAGAAAGTCAGTGCGTCATCGAGGACTGTCTAACTTATTTCCATTGGGGTCCTTAATCTTGTCCCCCAGGATGCGACCCACACCAGTCGACTAACACCCGGGTACCTATTTGCTGCTAGGTGAACAGGACAATAGGGTGTAAGGAAACGTGTCGGAATTTCCACCCGCCGGGAATCGAACCCGGGCCCTCCGTGTGTGAAGCGGGAGCTTTAGCCACCAGACCACCGGGCCACATGAAGAATGGAAGATGTCCTCTGTACCAAGATACCATTATGCTGAATCAAAAGGGTATACAGTACCGACAGGTTGGTAGGTAAGACACATAGGCAACAGTTAGACAACTTTATTCCGAAACGTTTCGCCTACACAGTAGACTTCTTCAGTCGAGTACAGAAAGTAAGCAGGAGCAGTAGAGATGTGAAGACGGTGTAATCAGTCCATCACCCTTGAAGTCGTAGATTTGAGGTTGTCAGTCCCTCAGCCTGGAGAAGAGTCCTGTTCCATAGACTGAAACAGACAAGGTGATGGACTGATTACATCATCTTCACATCTCTACTGCTCCTGCCTACTTTCTGTACTCGACTGAAGAATACTACTGTGTTGGCGAAATGTTTGGGAATAAAGTTGCCTAACTGTTGCACGTGTGTCTTACCTACACACAGACACTCCAGCACAACTGTTGCACAGTATCTTAATCTTCAGCTTGTCGTTATTTTATACCATTTTCAATAACATTTAAATAGAATTATCATACATAACTCCCGAAAAAGTAAATTTTCTTACTTTCATTGGGGTTTACCTAGACCTGGTCCATTTGTCCTTGACAAATGGACAAGTGTAAAATCCTAATACTTGGAAATGAAAATAACTTATAATTCTAAAAGTAGGTGATGTAGAGCTTGATTATACAGAATGTGAAAAAGACTTTGGAGTTATGGTAAGCCGAAATCTAAGGCCCAGGCAACAGTGCCTAACTAAATAATTCAATAAAGATACCCAAGAGTTGCACATGTGTCTAATTTATCAACGTGTCGGTTATCTGAACCATTTATCTACAAAGTGCCTAACTAGGTTAGGGCATTGACTTAAGCCGGTAGGAGACTTGGACCTGCCTTACATGGGCCAGTAGGCCTGCTGTAGTGTTCCTTCTATCTTGTATTCTTCAATAAGGCTAACAGATCACTTGGGTTAATACCAGGAAGTATAAGAAACGTGAGTCCAAAAATTATTTTGCATCTCTACATATCTGCACACAGAAATCACTCCCTATGAAAGTAAAAGACTGGGCAGGCGATGCAAAATACCCCCAATTAAAAGTAGGGGCGCTATTGGTACACTAAGAGAAAACACCTTAAGTGTCCGGGGCCCAAGACTGTTCAACAGCCTCTCACCAAGAAAAAGGGGGGATTACCAATAAATCCCTGGCTGCCTTCAAGAGAGAGCTGGACAGATACCTAAAGTCAGTGCCGGATCAGCCAGGCTGTGGTTAGTACGTTGGACTGCGTGCGGCCAGCAGTAACAGTCTGGTTGATCAGGCCCTGACCCACCGGGAGGCCTGGTCGTGGACCGGGCCGCGGGGGCGTTGATCCCCGGAATAACCTCCAGGTAGATTACTGGAGGGATCCTCACTTAGACTGTCAGTTATAATCTCTGTCCTGCAGAGTAACTATGGGAAATTAAATCTTCATCAGAGTACAAAACAAATTCTGGCCACAAAATAGAGCGAAACACCAACGTCAAAGACCTGGGAGTGATCATGTCGGAGGATCTCACCTTCAAGGACCATAACATTGTATCAATCGCATCTGCTAGAAAAATGACAGGATGGATAATGAGAACCTTCAAAACTAGGGAGGCCAAGCCCATGATGACACTCTTCAGGTCACTTGTTCTATCTAGGCTGGAATATTGCTGCACACTAACAGCACCTTTCAAGGCAGGTGCAATTGCCGACCTAGAAAATGTACAGAGAACTTTCACGGCGCGCATAACGGAGATAAAACACCTCAATTACTGGGAGCGCTTGAGAGTTCCTAAACCTGTAATTCCCTGGAACGCAGGAGGAGAGGATACGTGATTATATACACCTGGAAAATCCTAGAGGGACTAGTACCGAACTTGCACACGAAAATCACTCACTACGAAGCAAAAAGACTTGGCAGACGATGCACCATCCCCCCAATGAAAAGCAGGGGTGTCACTAGCACGTTAAGAGACCATGCAATAAGTGTCAGGGGCCCGAGACTGTTCAACTGCCTCCCAGCACACATAAGAGGGATTACCAACAGATCCCTGGCAGTCTTCAAGCTGGCACTGGACAAGCACCTAAAGTCAGTTCCTGATCAGCCGGGCTGTGGCTCGTACGTTGGTTTGCGTGCAGCCAGCAGCAACAGCCTGGTTGATCAGGCTCTGATCCACCAGGAGGCCTGGTCACAGACCGGGCCGCGGGGGCGTTGACCCCCGGAACTCTCTCCAGGTAAACTCCAGGTAATGGCTGCATTGAACAGTCTTGATAAACCTCCTGGACAGCGAAACGTTGCCACAATAAAATGTCACATTATATGCACTTGTGTCCTTTTACCTAACCTGAGGATGTCGAATCAAGAAAGTAATCGAAGTAACGGATTTAAATTTAATAAGTTTAGATTTAGAAAGGCCATAGAGAGGACCCCATCATGCAGTGTAATGACAAGCATCATCTTATTATCCAAACATTGGGACTCACGTGTTTCTTTTATATAGTGTTAAAAACAACACAGATAATAAATATTACTGAATACACAATGTTTCCATCTGTAGTATTTTGTATTACAAAATATTCGATAGAATCTACAAAAAATTCTTCAACATATATATATATATATATTATTATATATATATATATAATATATATATATATATATATATATATTATATATAATATATATAGTATATATAATATATATTAATATATATATATATATATATAATATATATATATATTTAAAATATATGGGAGGTACCACCTCTACAACTGTCCTGGGGACCCTCATCCTCAGAGAAAAGAATAAACTTGCTTTAGGGAAAACTCAAGGTTCTTCCTGAAGCTGTTGAGAATTTTCTCCTCCACCACCCCCTATATTTTATGTATATTTTTATTTAAAGACAAAAACATTGACAAACATTCACAAAAAATACGATAGAAAGTAAAACAACATAGGTGACTCAGCGCTACATCTCGAATACTTCGTGCAGCTCCCCGGCGGTGGGCCGCGTGCCCAGAATGCTGCAGGCATTTTCTCTCTGGATTGCAACACTGAGTCTCTGAAAGAGGAAGCTGGTCGCCCTGTGGTCCTTGGTTTCTATGATGAGCTTTTCACCCAGCTCTATTAGGAACTTTAAGAGCACACTTGCCCATGCTCCAAGGGTCTCCGACCCTATGGGATGAAGTTTATAGCAAGGGGGAAGGTCTTCATATTTGCGGATCTTCTGGGTCTCCCTGTGGCTGGCAGCTCCACCCCTTTCCACTACGGAGTATGGCAAGTAGGTGTCTGCCAATGTGGCGGCACATGTGTAGTCCCAGGCAATCTGCTTTCCATCCTTCCAAGGTAGCATAGTGGCGCTCCATCAGGACGCTTTTGACTTCCGTCAGACCCTCTGCACTTGGGGTTCCCGTTGAGCTGGGCAACGGGCTGTGGTGAGGCTTCTCTTTATGATGTCATTGACCTCCTCATGCCTGGCATACTT